TCTTAGGCATCCTACTAGTGTCCTTGGGAAAACAACGGCTGATTGCAGTGTCTGCATTAGGAGCCAAGGATGGATTGCATGTGATGAGGAAAGGCAGATTCAAGGTTCTACAAGGAGACTAGCAGAAAACTATATGATAACTCCAGCGAATATCTTGAAAACTCCAGTAAAAAAACACTTTGAAGAGCTCAGTTACCATTTGCTATATGTGTTCTCTAAGCTTGAGACCACTTTCCCCAAAGCTCTGTCTGTACTTGTGGGAGAGAGTTACAGATATAGACTTTTTTTGGGGGTGGGGAGGAAGGGGAGGTTTTAATTAACTATCACACCATAGTAAATAACTATTTCTAAAAGATAATTACTGAAAATTTTGTGGGGTTCGTAATCAGTTGGGACTCATGAGATTGAGCATTAGAAAGACATCCCCCAGCACCTCAGATCTATCCCTAGAACCTTTTGGAAGATAGAGTAACTACACTGGGAACTCAGCCTGCTACTGCATGTGGGAGTTGGGAGAGAAACTCCAGAGCATATGCTTGTGTATATATAATGTTATGTCCTTGTGATACTCTCAATCATGTTAATGTTTGATGAATTTGATGAAGAAGGGGTGAAAAGAATTGGCTAGATAAATTAAAAGGGCTTTTAATGTAATTAACATTTAGCAAATACATTATATACATCATAGGGGAATGTTGATGACCAAAAAAAGCCCCACTTCATAACATCTCATATAAATTCTCTAACTTTTAGCTTAAATATATGTCCTCTGGTTCTACGGTCAATTATTAATATATTTTGTTAGAGATAGAATAGGAGGCTTAGCCTTTTCTTCTTCTAACTAAATGATCCCTAATTGTCACAGCCTTTGTTAATCAGGTCTTTTTCTAGTCACCTGATCCAAGCACTCAGGTCAAGGTGATTAAAAATAGCACATGGATATATCAGTGGTTCCAGCTTCAGTTTGTCCAAAAATTCCTTCTGGAATGGAAGAAGTGAGCCAGGATGTGCTCCAATTGCTCCCTAGCATGGCAAGATAAAATGTAAATTTAAGGTAGAAAATACATACCCCTTCATCCCAATCCCCCATTACCCCCCTCGCTAAGTGCCTACCAGCAAAGTTGCCAGTTTTGGAAGGAGCAAGCAATTGGTTTTTGTTTGTTTTTGTTTTGTTTTGTTTTGGGGGGGAGAAGGGGAGGGAACAACAGAGTTTCCACTGTAATGTACTATATAGTCCTTAGGTTCCAACATATCTGGGGATTTCGAACTTGGAAGGAATGGGGGTAGGGAACAATACAATTGCCTTACTCTAGAAAGTGAAAGAAGTTGGTTAATACTCTCTAGTACTGTGCTGTCTGAATCTCACTGCTTCAAATATAAAAGCAAGCTCTTTTTATTATGCTATTGGGAGAGGGAAGGAGCAAAGGGTTCTAATACTTCAGGATATTACTTCTAAGAGTATAGATTGACTCGTACACCTCATATCTTTATCCTAGTAGGTGTCACAATGAGACAGGTCTTGCTGTCATTCACTATTGCCTCACCATGACATCAGAGTTAATTAAAGAAGGTCCTAATAATTACAGTGCCATAGATTGAGAGCATTCCTCTCTAGCAGGGATGAAATTTCATGGACTATGAAGGTCCTGACCTCTTTTGTAGTATGGTATAGAGAAAATGAGGAGAGATTTGTATCATACACAGTCCCCTTGAATTTTAACCTAGACTGCTCTATTTAAGCCCTGTTTACATCTTTCATCTTCAGAATGCACCATCATAATTTCCCAAAGTTATTACTCAGAACACACCCCTCCTGCATTTCAGTTTTATTATCCTCATTTTAGGGATGATGAAATGGAAGCACAGAGCAGTAGCAATTGAGCAAACCAAGAGAGGTTGTGATCAAGCCCCAGAACGCTAAATGCTTTTCTGAGCACTTTCTGCATTTCTGATAATAGTCTTGGCTCTATTGAGAGACGGTTTTTCTGGCTACCCTGCTCCCCTCCATTAAATCTAAAGATAGAAATTCTTACAGATTGACACACAACAACATTGTTAGTTTCTTAGTTAGCAATAGTTAAATAATATTTATATAATATGTGCCAGGTCTTTCAAAAAATTTACCTCATTTAATTTTCAGAACAACCCTGGGAGGTAGGTGCTTTAATTATCCTCATTTTATAGTTGAAGAAACTGAGGTAAACAGAGGTTAAGTAACTTCCCCAAGGTCACAGAGCTAGCAAGTATTCAAGGCTAGATTTGAACTCAGGTCTTCCTGCCTCTAGCCCCCACTCCCTCTTCACTGTGCCATCTAGCGGCCATCTTAGCCAGTCCCACAGATCAAAGAGATTAATGAATCTCAATTCTTATCCAATGTTTTCTTTGCTTTTTTAGCCCTCCTTTATCCTCTAAAGTGTAGCCCAAAGTGCCTAATTGCAACAGGCTGCAGCACAGAACTTTCTAAATGAAGCAGATGGACAGGTTGGTGGCTTTAAAGAATGAGGATTTTTACAAATATAAGGTAATATTTCAGAAAGTACATTTAAATAGGTGGCACTTTTGTTTCATGCATAAAACAGTTGACTTAACCATGAAGGCTCTTCACCACCCTGGAGATTTTGAAGTACACTGATACTGCATAGTGAGAACCTCATTCCAAATTTGGGGAACATATGAGCTCCCTCATGACTTCTTATAATAGCTCCTATTACCCTGTAGTTTTTCAAGATATGCAGATAAATACTGTCTTCAACTAACAGCTTTGGCCCCTTTGTTACTTTCCATAGAACATTTTATCTTTTTTCTGCTTTTTACCTTTTATTTTATTCCCCTACTGCATGAAATTAAAAACCACAGACAATTAAAGCTAAGAGGGAGTTCAGTGATGGTCTAGTCCAAACATCTCATTTTGCAGATAAGGAAACTGAGGCTCAGAGTTCAGTTTGGGACATCCTGAGTTGGGCATATTGGAGTGATGCAATAAGACATACCCAAAAAGCACCCATGTTTGGAACTCAGCATAGAAGGCAGAGCTGTTATTTGAGTCTCCCAAATAAAGAATATTATAGAACCTATTGAAGTAGAAAGAGAAAATTGCCAATTACAGAATCTTAAAGAATTGGCTACTTTTAAGAAGATAGGGAAAAAAAGAAATGACAAATTAGAATATAAGCCAGAAAAGAAAGATAGGAATGAGGAGGAAAAAAGTCATATAAGCCAATGAGGAAAGAATCATAGAATTTTAGAGTTCAGTGAGTCCTTAGAGTTTCCTATATCAAAGCCCCTCATTTTACAAACAGGAAAACTGAGGCACACAGAAAGAAAGTAATTTACTATGCAAATCACATAGGTGGATCATTCTATCACAGGTAGAATTGGGACCAGGTCTCTAGTTCTCACTGACCAGAGTGATCTACATTACACCACACAATGTCAACAGGTGAACTGGATAAGCCAAGAAGAGATCCAGGAGGATGAGGATATACAGAAGGGCCAATGAATTTGTCAATTAGCTCATGGATGGCCTTTGAGAGACAAAATTTAGTGGGATTGTGGTGATAGAAACAAGTTTTCTGGGCTTGGGTGTAATTTGGTGGTGATAAAATGGGTTAGTGAGTGTAGACTACTCATCTAAGTTTGGCAAATGAAAGGAAAAGTAGGATAGCAAAGAGATAACAGGAGGACTTAAAAAAAGATTTTTTTGTTTATTTGTTTTCTTGGGGCTAAACAGAGGTGAACCAGTGGTAGGCAGGGGTTGAGGATGCAAGAGAGATAAGAGAACTTTTTTTTTATTTTTCATTTTTAGATCCCTAGGGCCAAGCACAGTACTTTAAAATAGCAGACATTCAATCAGTATTTGTTGAATTGAACTGGATTTGTTGAATTTATGGATTCAAAGTCTCCTAGAACTATGAAGGCAATAGGATTAACAGAACATTGTAGAAAGTCAGTCTTTGAAAAGAACCTACTTCATAGTATTGTGCCTGCTAGACGCATTTTGGTACATTCACATGGTCTCAGTAACACAAATTCCTCTTCTGGAAATAAACATATATGTTTAAGGTCTTTTTATACATCTGAATTCTATGACACATCTTGAATTATTCTGTCTCTTCTGCATTAGAGAAAAGCAGCTAGATTAAGGGCAAAATAAGATCAAGGAGAGGGGAACCATTTTGGAGGAAATGCTGGCACAACAGGCATTAGAATGCCAAAGAGAATGGATAACCCATAGCTAATAAAGAAGTGGCTTTAGTGAATAGTGAGAGCCTTCTATTTGAAATCTAAAACCTTGACTTCTGCTTGTTATTCAATATATCCAGTTCATACACGTCGGTAACAAAGCCACAGAGGCAAGATTGTTATGTGAGGCCCCTTGTTTCTTATTGAGGGAGCACTGTTCTTTCAAGTATGTCTCTTCTCAGATATGGGAGAGCAATCCGGGGCCCTCCCTCTCAATTAGCTGTCATAATTCTTTTTCAAATATTAGTGGAAAGTTTGACCCCTAGGGGACTAGGAAAACTACCATAAGTATGACCCACAAGAATGAATTTCTAATTGTAACATTTCAAGACACCATATCAACCCAAGTAATCAACTCCCTCATCTACCTGATCATATGGTTGCTCTTATTAAGTGGCTACAAACAGAGTACATAAGATGCTGTCCATCTCAATTATACTGGAGAAGAGGTTTCTACCCCTAAATTAATTCTGCTGCATATTTATAATCTACTAAAAATCAGAGTTCAAAACTAAGCTAGCAGCAGAACCAAAAATGAATGTAACCTCATTTAGAGCCAACAGCCTCTTGTGAAAAGCAAGTTAAGGAGAGAATGAAGACACTCATTTGCGGAAAAACTATGTTATTAAAGTTATCAGTATACTTGTGCATCATGAATTTAGAAAATGATTTGGTCAAGTCAAAGATGTCCTTCCTCCACCCATCTCACATCCTGTCCTCTCTACCTTAGTCTGAGAATTATCAAAGATATATCCTACCCTCTCCCATTTCCTCTCCTTGGTCAGAAGGATTATCACCAATTTGGGGTGCATCTGGTAGCCATCCTCGCTGAAGGACAGATTCCTCCCCTCAAAAGTGACATTGATTAGATACCTAGGAAGATAAAAAGAGAGAAAGAGAAAAATTAAACATGGTATATCGGAAACAATGTTATAAAAATCTTATGTATTGCCTCTCCAACTCTGATCTGTTAGGGAGCTAAAGTGATTACATACCAAGATAGAAAAAAATTTCAAAATGGAAGAAGAAATAAGCTGAGTGCAAACATTTAGAACAATACATAGGGAGAGGAGTGGGAAGTAGGGCCAGTAAAGGTGGAGAAATGAACTTTCAAATAATAAAGCAGAAAGAAGAAAATAAAGATAAAAAATAAGAAACAGAAGTGGTACTCAGTGAAATCACAAGAAGGTATGGGAAGGAAAAATGAAGAAAGTACAAGGAAAAATAAAAATAAATAAAAACTAGAAGAAAGGAAGGCAAATGTAGGAAAAAAAAACAAAAACCAAAGGAACTTCTTTTTTTTAATTGTGAGCAAACAACCATGCTACATGAAGTCTAACATCCATAAATGCTGTCAGATCAAAAAAAATATATACATCAGAGTTAATCTCATACATATTTAATAATATATATTATGAACATTGTACTGCATACTAATTTAGAATAACTTGAAAGGCCATAAGTGGTTAGGAGGTCCCCAAAACAAATTTCATTGATTTCACAGTTTTGCCAATTCTGTTCCCAATTGGTCAGACCCCAGACATGAGACAGTTTTGCTTAAGACCTAGGTTATTCATAGAGTTACAGTTCACTCCCCAGAATTGAAGAATTGCAGAGTTGGGAGGGAAGAAGAAACCTATTCCAACCTGTACCTTTATCCTCACCATAGTATGGGGGTTGACAGATGCTGAGGAGGAAAATGAAGTGGGGTTTTGAGAACAAAAATAGAGAGTATCTCTGGGATCAGCTAAGGGAAAGAGATAACTGAAAGAAGAATGAAGATGCTCTCTCAGGATCTTCTGAAGATAACTGACATCCATAATTCATGATGATTCAAATGCACACACATATGCCTCCTCAATTCTTTGGCAGAGCACATCAATAAATCAATCAACAAGCATTTATTAAGCACCTACTATGTACCATGCATTGATAAGCTCTGAGATTACAAAGACAGGAATGAAATAATCCCTTTTCTCAGGGAGCTTGCATGCGAGAAAATAAACACACACACCCGTGTGTGTACCATATCTATCTATCTATAAATATAGACATACATAATGCACACATTTACACATAAAATAAATATAGGTGGAAAATACTTTTTAAAATGCAAGGCAATTAGGGAAGAAATGCACCAAAAGTTGTGGGAAGTCAGGACAGACATTGTATAGAAGGTGGTGCTAAAGGTGTGTCTTGAAGGAAGTGAGAGATTTAATGAGGTAGAGGTGAGGAAGGATTGCTCTCCAGCCATAGGAGAAGGCTAGTGCAAAGATAGAGAGATAGGAGATGGAATATCATGAATCAGGAACAGAGAGAAGGACAGGTTGGTTGACTTGGAGAATATGAGAAGATTGAACTAGATTGGAGTCATATTGTGAAAATCTTTAAAAGTTAAAAAGAAGAGTTTATTTCTTATCCTAGGAACAATCAGGAGTCACTGGAGGATATTGAGTTAAGGGAGTGATATGGTCAGATCTGCGATTGAGTAAAATCAATTTGGAAGCTGGATGAAGTCATCACAAATAGTCTAGGTAAGAAGGGATGAGAACCTGGACTCTTAAGGTTAAAGTATTAGCAGAGAGAAAGGGACAGTTTTCAAAGACGTTAAAGTAGAAATGGCAAATTTTGTTGATGATTGGATATTTGAGATGAGAGAGAGTGAGGAGTCAAGGAGAAAGCTAAAGTTATGAACTGAGGAGACTGGAAGGATGGTAAGGATTTTGACAAGAATAGTGAAGTTTAGAAGAAAGGTGGGTTTAGGGGAAAGATAACAAATTTTGTTTTAAACATACTGAGTTTGTGATGTCTCCAGGAAATCCAATTTGAAATGTCAAATGGGTAGTTGGTGATGTGGGACTGAAGCTCAGAGGAGACACTAGGTTGGAGATATATATATATATACATATATATATATATATATATATATATATATATATATATATATATATATACATATATATATATATATATGTATATATATATATACATATATATATGTATATATATATGTATATATGCGTATATATATGTGTATATATATATGTATATATATATGTATATATATATATATATATATATATATATATATATATATATATATATATATATATATCTGGAGTCATCAGCACAGATGTGATAATTAAACCCAAGAGGACCAAGTCATTAAGAGAAAAAGTGTAGAAAGAGAAGAGGGCCTAGGGTAGAACTTTTGAGAAAACACTCACAGTTAGGAGGTATGATATGGATAATTATCAGGAAAGGATATTAAAAAGAAGTGGTCAGACAGATAGGAGGAGAACCTAGAAAGAGTCAGCTCATGAAAACTCAAAGTGAGTATCCAGGAAGAGAAAAATCATTGGGAGTTTTTAATGTGACAGAGAAATGGAAAAAGGATGAAATCTGAGAAAAAAACAACAATTGGATATGGCAGCTTGGACAGAGCAGTTTTGAGTGATGAGGTGAGAAGCCAGACTGCAAAGGGTTAAGGAGTGAAGGAGAGGAGAGGAAATAGAGTCCACCAATAGGTGTTTAACTGAGAAAGAGAGGAGAAGTATAAGGTGATAGTTTAGCCAAACAGGATCTAGAAGATGATTTTTAAGGATGGAGACTCGGGCATGTTTGAAGATAATAGGGGGAAAATAGAATATTAAGAAAGATTATGCTGAGTGAAGTGAGTAGAACCAAGAGAACATTGTACACAATAACAGCCATGTTGTGCGATGACTAATATTGATAAACTTAACTTTTCCCAGTAATACAAAGATCTAAGACATCTCCAAAGGCCTTCTGATGGAAAATGTTATCCACACCCAAAGAAAGAACTATGGAATTTGAATTGCTATTTTTTTCTCTTCTGCTGAGTTTTGTTTCCTCTTTCTGATGGTTCCTTCTATTGGTTCTAATTTTTACTTACAACATCACTAATGTGAAAATATATTTAATAGAAATGCATATGTATAGCCTATATCAGATTGTGCACTGTCTTGGGGAGGGTGGTGGAGAGGAATGGGGAGAAAAATTTTAAACTCGAAAGCATATGGAAGTGATTGTTGATAAATCAAAATAAATTAATAAAAAAATTTAAAAAAAGAAAGATTAAAGGTTGGGGGAGAGAGTGTGACTGACTGGAAAATTTACTGAAGGAGACAGTAGGGGATGGGATCAAGGGTGCATGCAGAGAGGGTTGGTCGGTACAAGAAGAGCTATCTAATTATCAGAGTGGAAGAAAAGAGAGTGGGAGGTGATGTCAAGGGGTTTTTAGATGAATACAAGGGGAGAAGAGGGAGCATATGCCAAATGGCTTCACTTTTCTCAGTAAAGCAAGAGCCAAGGGCCTCAATTGAAAGGAGGGAGGGAGCGGGAGACTTGGAGGCTTGAGAAGAGAAGAGGTTTGCAAGAGCTTTTGTGGGAAATAAGGAATCAATTAGAAAGGAATAAGATTTCCACACAGCTTTGAGGGTCCACTTGAAATTAGATAACATATATTTGTACTGTCAGTATGGATGTATGCCTTCCACCAATTTCATTCAGCAGCACATAACTAGAAGTCGAGGAGGTGGATGGTAGAAGTAATCTGATACTGGGGTTTATCAAGTGATAAACAGCACTAAGAGAGAGGAGCAAAGGATTCCATAGGTTAAGATGCTTTGGGATTCTCCAAGTGTGTACCTACCTACCCCCATATGTTGGGAGCTAAGTTAAGGCATACATTTGGGTCAAGTTAGCCTTTTGAAGAGGAGCACCTTCTCTGTTGCAGTGAAAGTTGAATCTACTTTCTTGCTTGTCAAAAATCTGAATTCTCTTTTTAAAGACATCAAATACAGTTGTATCTTTTCACTTGTCAGATCCCTGATTCTTGCTCTTCCTGAGAGTTTCGCATTCTTGATGAGTCAACTTCTCCTACAAAATGTTAGGTCATTACACCCTATATTTACCCCAAAATCTTTTAAATGTGCTTTTCCAAAATCCACTGTGCGTCTGACTTAGACTATACCTGGCAGTTCTCTCCCATTTCACAAACTATAATACATCTGATCATTCCAAAGCCCTGTTCTGAGACTTCAACAATCAGTTCCTACTTGATTAGAATTAAATGGAAATCAGTTTCTTTTTTTGTTTTTGGATGGGATATTAAGGAAAATTATCCAATTACAGTGGATCTCTTCCTCACACACAGCATTCCATCTCTGGAGCATTTTTCTGTCAGGTTGTATCTCATGCCTGGAATAGTCAGCCTATTTGCACCTCTTAAAATCCCTAGTGCCCTTGAGAGGTCAGGTCAAACACCATGTCCATACAGGAGGCCATTTTTGTCGTCCCCATTATCTCAAAAGCTGCTAATGCCTCTCTCTAATAAAAGCTCCTACCTTACCCAGCTGTTGTGAGGATCAAATGAGAAGATATTTATAAAGTGCTTTATATACAAAGTGCTTTACATATAAAGTGCTTTATATATAAAATCTTCAAGTGCTATATAAAGGCTAGCCATAATTATTATTGGGGGGAGAGAGCATGATGATGAGGGAGGTTTGCACTCATGTCTTCCTTCTTACACATGTTGGCTATGTGATCCTGGTCAAGTCACTTTATGTGCCAAGAACACTCTCTAAGATGTCAAGCTGCAGAAAAACTGCCAACTTGAATTGGTAGAAGTAGTTCCTCATTGGGATCTGCCAACATAAAGGAAATTACAGATCCATTCCCTATCTTACACACATTGTCTCCTTCTATAGAATGTAAGCTATTTGAAGGCAGGGACTGTATCATTTATGTACTAGGTTGGTACACAGTGTCTGGAACAAAGGAGACACTTAATAAAATGCTTTTTCTTTTGGTTTAGGCAACAGGGTTAAGTGACTTGCCCAGGGTCA